AGGGCGCAGGAGATCGGAGGCCCGGGAGGGCCAACGGAGGCCCAGGCAGGCGACACCACGCCGCCCGGAGCACACAGCGTTAGGGTCGGTGAAGGAGAGGACTTCCTGCGGGAGCAGAGGGAGGACCGCTCGCTGGCCCACGCATGGTAGCAGGCCCAGATGGAGACACCCCCGGGACATCCGCACACTCAGAACCCGCGGTTCGAGGTAAGAGCGGACCGGCTATACCGCGTGACCATGCGGCCGGGGGAAGGGGGCGAAAACTGGCAGCTGTTAGTGCTGGCATGGTTCCGGTGGCAAGTCCTCGAGCTGGCACACGCGAACCCCTGGGCTGGCCACTTGGGGGTAGAAAAGACGTCCCAGAGGGTCATGCAGTGCTTCTATTGGCCCGGGATTCACCGGGAGATCAAGGTTCGAGAGGTCTTGGAGCAGCAGAAGCAGGCGGGGGCCGGGGGCGAGGGGGTGCATCCTGCCCCGAGTGCCAGCGGGCCGGGGGCGAGGGGGTGCCGAGAGCCCCCCTGGTACCGCTGTCCGTGGTAGACACCCCTTTCGAGCGGGTGGCGTTGGACCTGGTGGGCCCTCTGGCCTGGTCCAAGAAGGGCAACCAGTATGTCCTTGTTCTCATTGACTATGCAACCCGCTACCCCGAAGCCGTGCCGCTAAGGAACACTAAGGCCCCGGGGCTGGCGGCAGAGCTGGTCAAGATCTTTGCCCGCGTGGGCATACCCCTGGAGATCCTGACCGACCAGGGGACAAACATATCGGGGCGGGTCATGACGGAGCTATGTAAGCTGCTACGAGTGAAAAAGCTGCGGACCTCCGTCTACCACCCCCAGACTGATGGGCTGGTGGAGCATTTTAATAGAACGTTAAAAACGATACTGCGAAAATTTGTGGGGATTGATCCCCGGGAGTGGGACCGCTTCCTGCCCGCCCTCCTGTTCGCCATACGGGAGGTACCGCAGGCCTCAACCGGCTTCTCGCCTTTTGAGCTGCTCTACGGCAGGCAGCCAAGGGGTATCCTCGACCTCCTGAAGGAGGGATGGGAGGAGCAAGACTCCTGCACGAAAGGGACAGTCCAATACATCCTGGAATTGCGCGAGAAACTACAGGTATCCGGCGAGCTCGCCCAGAGCAACCTGCTAACGGCCCAGGCACGCCAGGCCCGGTGGTACAACCAGGGGGCTCACGAGCGGACGTTCGCACCGGGCGACCGAGTGCTGTTCCTCCTGCCAGCGACGGATTCGAAGCTGTTGCTGACCTGGCAGGGCCCCTATGAGGTGCGGCGGCAGGTGGGACCTGTAGACTACGAAATCCAGCTGACGGGTAAGCGCAAAAAGACCCAGATTTACCAAGTGAACCTTCTCAAGAAGTGGAACGTGCGAGAGAGCCTACTGGCAACCAAGCACCCTATGGAGCCGGAGTTGGGGCCCTGGGGAATAGACCTCAGCCAACCCGAGGGGGAGCCGCACCTGGGGCTCCGGTTGACCGACCCCCAGAAAGAAGAAATGCGAACCCTACTCCGGTCCTTTGCGGCTGTGCTATCGACACAACCCGGGCGCACCGAGGTGGCGCACTACCGCACCCAGACCACACCGGGGCGGAGGGTGCGGGAACCACTGCGGCAGCTCCCCCGGAAGTTATGGGGAACAGTGCAAGAAGAGGCGTAATCCAAAAATCGAAGAGTGAATGGCGGAGTCCGATTGTCTTGGTACCCAAGCGAGACGGGACGCTGCGCTTCTGCATAGACTTCCGCAAGGTGAATGCTCTCTCCAAATTCAATGCATACCCTATGCCACGGACGGAGGAGCTGCTGGAAAGGCTGGGGAAGGCCCGGTACCTGACGACCCTCGACCTCACCAGGGGATACTGGCAGATCCCCCTCACGCCGGCGTCCCAGGAAAAAACCGCGTTTGCGACACCATTTGGGCTCTACCACTTCCTGACCATGCCCTTCGGATTGAACGGTGCCGCCGCCACGTTCCAGCGGATGATGGACCAGCTCCTGGAGGAGCACCGGGCGTATGCGGCGGCGTATATTGACGACATGGTAGTGTACAGCACGTCATGGCAGGACCACCTAGGGCATGTCCGCGCAATCCTGGAAACGCTAGAAAAAGCCCGGCTGACCGCGAACCCCGGCAAGTGCGTGTTTGCACAGGATGAGGTGGCCTACCTGGGGTATATTGTGGGGAACGGGCAATTAAAGCCCCAAATGGACAAAGTCGAGGCCGTACGAGACCACCCAGCCCCCACGACAAAAAAGCAAGTCCGGCAATTCTTGGGCCTGGCGGGCTATTATAGGAGGTTTATACCGTGCTTCGCTACAATAGCTGCCCCTTTAACGGACCTGACAAAGGGCGGGGCCACCCAGAAAGTACGGTCGACCCCACAATGCGAGGAGGCGTTCCAGCAACTGAAGAGGGCTCTTACCCGGGCCCCGGTGCTGGCACAACCGGACTTCACAAAACCCTTCCTGGTGCACACAAAACCCTTCCTGGTGCAAACCAATGCCTCCGACGTGGGGCTAGGGGAGGTTGGTGCTGGCACAACCGGACTTCACAAAACCCTTCCTGGTGCAAACCGACGCCTCTGACGTGGGGCTAGGGGCGGTCCTGGCCCAGCAGCAGGGCAAAACCGAGAGACCGATACTTTACCTGAGCCGCAAACTGCTGCCGCGAGAACAGATGTACTCCACCATCGAACGGGAAGCACTGGCAGTACGCTGGGCGGTAGAAGCACTCCGTTACTACCTGTTAGGGGGCGCGTTCCAGTTGGTAACTGACCACGCACCCTTGCAGTGGATGCATAATATGCGGGAGGCAAACCCGCGTATAATGAGGTGGTACCTGTTCTTACAACAGTACAAGTTTTCGGTGGCGCACAAGGCGGGGCGGGAACACGCCAACGCAGACTTCTTGTCGCGCTGTGGGGGAGTGGGGACGTGGAAGGAAAGGACTGAGGGACAGGAAGGGGAGGTGTGTGACGGGGAAGAAGCTCCCCGCACTGCCAGCCCCGCCCCCGGGGAGGCGCCGAGAGGCGCGACGGAGCTGAGCCCGGGGGAAAGCGCCCAGGCAGAGGAGCGGGGGCATGCGGCTGCAGGCATGGGGGGGGCGGGGGGCGAAGGGACCCAGGAGGAGGCGGACGGGAGACGCAAGGGGGAGGGGCACGCCCCTGGCGTGCCGGCCCAAAAGGGGGAGAGGGGGGGGCTGCCAGCATTTCTTTTAACTCGGCAGGCAACCAGGGGAGCGGAGCCGGAGGGCCGGAGGAGGGGGCCCGGACCCGCACAGCCCTTGACCGGGGCGACGAGACTTCCCAGCCTGGGGCATGGAGGATCGAGGCCGAAGACGGACGGCCCCACCTCCTGCACCTGAGGGGGACCGAAGGTCGGGCCCGACGGAGGGCCAACCCCCGCGGCTGGTTCGTGAGCGGGGCGGAGAGCGGGGGGCCCGCCAGAGCCCGCGGGCTGAGCGAAAGCCCGGGCGCGGCGGCCACAAACCCGGGGGCCAGGACAGAGGGGTCAGGACTCGGGGGCCGAGATTGTGGGTGAGGGATACAGGCGAGAGAGGGGACCGGCGCACACTCCCATTCAAGTCATTAGGGATGAGATTTTCAAAGGCACTTAAGAGAGCAATGCATCTAGCTCCCATTATCTTCTCACTAATTTCAGATGGGAGAAGAAATAGGGATGTCAACAATTAGTCAACTAGACAATTAACTGGTAAGCCAATGCTTATCAGTTAATCTGTTGACTACTCGCATCGCCCTTGCTTCCTCTGTATCAGAGGCAGCGGGGGAGGGAGCAGGCACCAGTGCTGGGGGAGCTGGCTTAAAAGCTCGTTCCCCCAGCACTGGCTCTGCGGTGCCGCCTTCTCCCGCCTCCTCAACTATTCTATTACTTGATATCTAATATCCCTAAGCAAAAACAGACTTACACTTTTTAAATGACAAGGGCTAAGCAGATCTTGAATTATGAAAAATACTTTGAGTATAACTTCTCACTAGGTTTTACTCTGTTCGTCTCTTCTTCGTGTTTAAAAATTACATCAGAATGTATTTATGCAATAATCCGTACAGAGTATATACACATACACTAATTATTATGAACATAGATTTTTCTGAACATAGATTTATAGGGTAAATGTTAACACTTTTGCCGTGTTATCAAATACTTTCAAAATAGGATGTGTATTCAATAAAAGTTACATCTTATAAACCACATGATACACCACAGAACCAATTTATTCTGTTAGCTGCTCTAATGAGATATGCAGACTCTCGTTTACCTCATTGCCCCTTTCAGTCCTGCTGACATAATCGAAGTCACAAACCACAAAAGCAGTTATATAAGTTGACATTTTCAGTGTGGTGTTAAATGTGGTAACAGTCCATATGCTTCCATTCTCATCTTTCATTTCAGTTTTGTCTAGAACAAAAATAATTTTAGTATAGAAACATTCAAATTATTCTTCCTATGCAACAAAACACTATTTTGCGTTTTCAAAGCAGTGTTTTACACATCTTTCATTACATTTAATACTCTGTATTACAGCACTGGGTACACATACTTTGTCAATAGAATCAAGCCAATTTTCTCACTCTGCTCATTAGCTACTTGAATTATTACCTTAAATACAAAGATTTCACTATTCCATTCCTCAGCATCTTAATAAAACTCTACAAAGCATATTAAACTATGCATTGGTTTTGGGATGAGGACAAGCATAAACATGTTCTCCCATGCTACACTTCTTTAATACGTATGTTTATATTATCGCTATTATTACTGAAATCAATGTCAAATATGCCAGAGAGTTATCAGATGCATAAATCTCACATGTCCCAAAAAATGGGCCCAATCAGACCCACCAAAGAAAAATCCACAGAAGACAATTCTGAGAGAGGAAATATGTCCAAGCTACTTTCACAGACATGTCTCACAGATTTCATAACCATTTATTTTTATTGCTTAAAAATATTTACATGCAAAATAAAATCCAACACCACGCAGATATTAAAAGAGCCATTTAAACTAAATAAAGGAATCCTACATGTTTTTAGGTTTCTTATATGAATACTATCTGTCACTCATATGGAGTCTTGATCATACATAGCATCCCACAGTAAGTCCCTGAAAATCAGCATTGAGGGGCATTGCCAGGTTAGTATACAATAGCTTGCACTGCTGCTCACCCCACCATGTGTATTCTGCAGATTAAAAGAAGACTTCAATTCTGTGACTATCAAGGCAGTTTTCATAAGCAATCAAGTGTTTTTTTTTAAGATACACACAATCCTCCCAGTCGTTAAATAACAGAAGTCGTTTTCATACATACAACAAAACAACAGCTTAACAAGTTAGTAAAAATTATGCAGTAAAATATACTGACTAAACTTTATACAGTAAGATGCAAAACATGAATTGTTGTGCAGTCAAATATACCTGCCAGACATGGATATGTCATCATTGAATGGTCAGCAAACACCCCTGCCACTCACTTCTCAAGACAGTATCTGTGCATATTTGTCTGTGAATTTACTGGTTTCACTAAATCTCCCTATCTTTTTTTGGACTTACTAAATATGGTTCCTGTCTCAATAATCCATGTTGCAGGCCTTGCCTGCATACAAAAGTTAACCTGGAATGAAGTAGGACATAAATCCAAAAGCAGATTAAGTATTCCTGATTAACTCCATGTGTGGATATTTATTCCAAAATAAGGCACTCAAGGGGGCGGGGAAGTTTGAATGTAGAATTAATCAGGAATAGCTATTCCGAAATAAGCCCCCTGTCACAGGCTGACTTGCCCTTTAAGGCAAGCTGGACTCAGCCTTGCCCATAAGATAGTAGTTATCCTTCAGCCTTTCCTGTGAGCTAGCCAGGTAGGGGCAATTAGTGATCCCAGCTGGGTGCAATGGAATTAGAGTGACTGAAAACAACTTAAATGGAGCTAAGCTCAGCTGAAAGCAGGTGACCTGGGAAAGAAAAGGTAGGAAAGCTGAAGAAATAGAATCAATCTCTGTGATGGAACAGGGGGCAAGATCCAAGGAGAAACTTCAGAAGAGTCAGGATCCTTTTTGGAGAAAAAGTCCGGAGGGAGCAGAGTAGGTTGCTGTGTCAGGGAACCCTGAAATAGGGGTTTTCAGTGGAAGCAGAAGACTTAAAAATTATTCAGACTTGTTTACATTTCCATTTGGACTGTTTGGTTACCTCAGATAAAGTTTGAACTTTGTTGACTTGGCTGGAGGGCTGAGCCATGGAGGATCTTGTTAAAAGAAAATGTCTACAAAAGGTGCTGGAAATGATGTGACCAGTGACATTCTGTAAGGGGTGCTCCAGGAAGCAGTGTCTCCCACCTTACTATCTAGACAGACAAATCCTAATGCTTTCTGTCCTGTCACAAAACAGGAGCAGCAACCTCCTTCTTTTGGGAGAAAATGTCTTCCTCTAGAAACCTGTCGACATCAGTCTTTTGACCAGCAAGGTCTATTCAAAGTTTTTTCCAAATACATCTGAGAACCTGGCATTTGCAACCTTATGTTCTGCTAACCTCCTTCTGTTTACATTTCTTTTTTTACAGTTAAAATTCAGTCCATGCTCTGTATAATTGCTCTGTATGGCTCATACAAGAATGTTATCTAAACAGAGTTTTCCTATGTTTGATAACAATTAGCACAGGATGACATAAAATAATGGGCTACAATTATATACTGTTTAAGTAAATTAAAGCCTTTATTAAGGTACTTGGAAAAATACAAAAGTCCATTTTTAACCTACCTATAGCAGGCATGTTAGAAAGGGCCACGTAACTGGGATGATGGACAATTACGATATTAAAGGTTGCCTTCATGGCAGGTTCATCAAAGCAGGGGTAAACAGTCCTTGCATATGTTGGTTCAAGCTGAGATGCAATCAACATACTACATTGGAAAAATGTATATGATTAATCCAGCATGTTGCAGCTGATCAAAACCATTATACATAGTGCATAAAATTTTCCAAGTTAGAAAAAAGAAAATATAAATCATATACATATGTGGCTTTAGAAAAGGGTTAGTCATTATTAAGAAAAGCTTATGATTCAATTGTCCCCCACAGAGCTCCATGTGCGGATTTGCATCTTGTTTAATTTAGCCATTTTTTTCTGACACGTCTTTCTTTTCTAACTAAAGAGTTCACAGTTTTATATATTTGTTGGGTTTTTTTTAATTTCACTTCTGATATGGTATTAGTCTCGTGCCAAGTTTAGCTCATACACAGCAGTCAAGTGCTCAGAAATAATGTAGCCACCGATATTATCTCAGAAGTAGATTAGGTGTGGATACCTACTGGTCTCTCTAATAGAAACTTTCTGATTTTAAAAAGTTGGAGTTTATTAAAGGATTTCAAGAATCATTGTCAGGATCAAAACATTTTCCCCATCTCTACCCAAGACAGGCACAGAAGAACCCTCCAGCAGCAGTTCCATGCCACTGGGGAATCCCTTTAGAGAGATCCTGTAGCACCTGTGTATAGGGTTACCAGGTAGACCCTTCCCCCCCAAAAAAACCGGACACACTTGATCATGGGTGGGGGGAGGGACTGGCCGGGAGGAAGGGGGCGTGAGAAGCAGAGCTGGCGGGGAGTAGGGGGCCGCAAGGAAGGGGAGGCTGGAGGCAGAGGGGGCAGGAAGCAGAGTGGGCGGGGGTGCAGCGGCACTGGCCAGGGGAGATAAGGAAGAAGCACGGGCCAGTGGCAAGCAGAGCTTGGGGGGGAAGGCTGGGGGGCTGGCTGGAAGGAAAGGGGGGGGCCGGAGGAAGGGTGGGCGGGAAGCAGAGCGGGCGGGGGTGCAGTGGTGCTGGCCAGGGGAGATCAGGAAGAGGAATGGGCCGCCGGGAAGCAAAGCTGGGGGGCGATGCAGGGGGGCTGGTTGGGGAAGATCAGGACGGGAAGTGGGAGAGAACCAGCCGGCAGGGAAGGGGGGGTGGGACTGACCCGGGCACTTGCAGATCCCGGGGCGCTGCCTGTCCCACTCAGGCTCCTAGCAACGCACGAGGGAGGCGGAGGCTTCCCTCCTCCTCCTTACACTCAACCAACTGAGGGCTCCCAGCGGCAATCGTGGCCTCGCTTCCCCCCGCCCACGCCAGGCTTCTGTCCAGTGCGCAGCCGGAAAAATCAGACAATACTGGACATTGCACAAGTCCAGTATTGTCTGATTTTTTTTACCAGACAGAGCGCAAATACCGGACTGTCTGGGTACAATACCAGACACCTGGCAACCCTGCCTGTGTGCTGTAGAGCTCTTCTCCAAGATGGTCTTGTGGCAGTTTAGAAGAGATTTTTGGAGCAGAGTGCAGTGGAAATGGCGATTGCGAAAATGGCGATCGGGGCTTTTTTGTGGAAAAGCGCATCTAGATTGGCCACGGACGCTTTTCCGCAAAAATTGCTTTTGTGGAAAAGCGTTTTGCCAATCTAGACGCGCTTTTCCGAAAATGCTTTTAACGGAAAACTTTTCCATTAAAAGCATTTCTGGAAAATCATGCCAGTGTAGACGTAGCCCCTGGCTGTGTCTACACTGGGCCACTTATTCCGGAAAATCAGCTGCTTTTCCAGAATAAGCTGCGAGCTGTCTACACTGGCCCTTGAATTTCCG